AAGTCCTCTCACGAACGGGGGTTCGGCGACGGCGTCATCTACAAGACCAAAGTGTACAAGCTCAATGAAGATTCAAGGGCAGCGCGGTCAAAGACCGAGATCAAGTCTCTCTTTGGCTTTGCCGAAGGCGACCCGAACATCTCACCCGAGGCGATTCAGGCGCTTGATCCCGACGGCCTGCCCGCCATCGGGACCAAAGTCGGTGAGGGCTCGATCGTTCTCGCCTACCACAGTGTCATGTTCGATCCGTCCGAGGGCAAGCTGAAGAACTTGGACGGGAACACCATGTACTTCAAGTACAAGGACGCCGAGGAGGCTTACATTGACCAGATCAGACTGATTGGCGCCGAGACGGGAGACCAGCCTTGCCAGGCGATCAGCATCAAGTACCGGATTCCGCGACGGCCCGTCATCGGCGACAAGTTCTCGTCGAGGCACGGCCAAAAGGGCGTCTGTTCGATGCTGTGGCCCAGCGAGGACATGCCCTACAGCGAATCCGGCATCCAACCCGACGTCATCATCAACCCGCACGCGTTCCCCTCTCGAATGACCATCGGCATGTTCGTCGAGTCGCTGGCCGGTAAGTCCGGGGCCCTCCACGGCCTCGCGCAGGACTGTACGCCGTTCTCTTTCGACGAGGACCACACGGCGGGCAACTTCTTCGGCGAGCAACTCCTGCAGTCCGGCTACAACTTCTACGGCAACGAGCCCATGTACAGCGGCATCACGGGCAAAGAGTTCGCCGCAGACATCTACATCGGCGTCGTCTACTACCAGCGCCTGAGACACATGGTCAGTGACAAGTTCCAGGTGCGCACGACGGGGCCTGTCAACGCCCTGCACGGCCAGCCCATCAAGGGACGAGCCAAAGGCGGCGGCATCCGCGTCGGCGAAATGGAGCGCGACTCGCTGATCGCGCACGGTTGTGCGTACCTCCTCCAAGACCGACTCATGGACTGCAGCGACAAGCAGCGCGCCTGGGTCTGTCGCGCCTGCGGCAGCTTCTTGAGCACCATGATGGTGCCGAACCAGTTCACCATCAAACGGCGAGGCGGCAGGGTCGAGCCGAGTGGCATCGTGAGATGTCGGGCCTGTGCGAGGCCCGCGACGTTTGACGATGCGAAGATTACGGTGTGGGAGGACGGGGCGGGAAGGAAGTTTGTCGGCGGTGATGACACGACCGTGGTCAATGTGCCGGGAGTTCTGAGGTATCTGGATGTTGAGCTGGCGGCCATGGGGGTGAGGACGACGTTTGAGATTGAGGGTTAAGTTGTCGCACAACAATACAATTAGGTTCTTTCTCGACGCTACAATGAAAGTGAGGAGAAGAAGTCCAGCCGCCCTTATTATTATTACATACGTGGTAACCACTTCCTCCTGCCCAGCTAGCTCTGAAGGTACATGACCGTAGCCTGGTTCTCGAACGCGGAAGACATACTGTATGCATATTACCCATGTGTCTCATACCGAAGAGACAGAGAGAACAACCTTACACCCCGTGGTCATGGCCGCGCAGGCCGGGAATTCGCCCTGATTCACCGCGCTGGAACTCAGCCTCGTCCACATGCCCAGACAGATCCGGCACGCCTCCCACAGCACCGTTCTTCCCAATAAGGACGACCGCGAGGACGCTGATGATAGAGAGCCGAGAGCGGCTGCGGCGGCGTGGATGGGCGTCAGAATACCTGAAGGGGGTTGCGAGGAGGACGATCGGGAGGAGCAAGAGGGTTCAGGTTTTGAGTTCGAGTTCGAGTCCGAGTCCTGCGCCATCATGTCCATCCGACCGATGATGCGGGAGACAGAGGTGCTTCGGCAGCAAACAATTGGACTTGGAATGAGCCTTGTGTGGGTTTCGTGAACGGGGTGGGAGACAAACATTGAGCAGGAGTTAGGGGATGGAGGAATGGAGGGGGGGGAGGTCCAGTATCTCTTTATTCTCAGTCTGGTGAAGGAAAATGCGTGTCATGGTTAGGCGTTGTACTTTGAAGGAAGGTACTCAGCGCAGTACTGTAACTAGGCATGTGGCACGGTATACGGACTATCGAACGACGAGGTCAAAGACGCCAAAGAAGTCCTCACTCGGTACGATAAGGAGTGTAATGTGCTTTGTTAGACATGCTTACAGACTTACTGATAAAAGCCTCAGCCATCTCTCTACGTACCCAGGTAGACTCGTCAACGGCCAACCCCTACCAAGCATAGAGAGAGGCTCAATACTTTCTGTTGTACCGCAGTCATGAGTATGCGCAATGCAGCACAAGAGAAGAGTGGCTTGACAAGATACACTATCAATAGTTCTCTCTAGTCATGGCCATGTTGCCTTGTAGGCCTCAAAATCCACGCTTTTGAGGAGAAAAGCATCAGCCTTCGTCACCATGGTTATCCTTGACAGTATTGTCCGCGTCGCTGTCCTCGTCGTCGACACCGACATCCCCATCATTCAATAGAGCGTCCGCACCCTTCGTCTCGTCTTTCTCAATCGCTCCAACCAACGGTTTCGTCCTTGTTGCTTCGATGCCGCCTGAGGTGACAAACAAAAAGGGTTCGCTAGGAAAGTTGTCGACGTGATTGAAGAAATTGCCAAAGACGTTGTCCTTCTCCTCGTCCCGGTACATGCGCTCGTAAATTTGTTCCTGCTTGAACTTGTCCATCTCCTCCTTGTATTTGTCAAAGTCGATGGCTTCTTTGGCGAGTGAGTCTTTGGCACGCTTGTTGTATGATTCGAATACCGGACGTTCGAGCAGAAGACCCAAGCTGGGAGCTTTGGGGATGGACAGTCTGTCAGGTCCCATGCTCTCTACTAGTCGCTGAGGCTCACATCCACAACGCACGACGAGCGCGACCATCCCGACCATCTTGCGGATCTGGTGCATCATAAAACTCTGCCCGTGCACTTTCATACTCAGCCACTCTGTTCCGTTGATAAGGATGGGCGTCCTATTGACAAGGAAGGATTTGATGACTCGCTTTGCGCTGGGATCCTTGAAAGTCTTCTGGACGGTGTAGTTGTGAAAGTTGCGTGTGCCCACAAACAGATGGAGTGCCTCTTGGATCCGGTCGAGTCGTTCAGGGGCAATGCGGTAGGCTCGTTTGGCGGCGATATAGGCCTGCCGGATCCGTTTCGTGGCTTCTTCGAGGATACGCGATCGCGGTAATTTGGATGGATCTGTTGAGTCTTCTGCTGGGGAGATGTCTTCTTCGCTGTTGTTGTTGTTGTTGTTGTCTACAGGAAGCTTGCCCTTCGATTCTGCACCTTTGCCTTCCGCTACATGCGGCAACTCTGGTTTGGAAACGTCTCCTTCAACCTCCGTAGTCGTGGGAATCGACAGATCTGCACCACTGGCCCCGTCGTAGTCACCTTCTGTTTTCAGCCACAGTGCCTTCTCTAGAATGGCACGAATCTCTTCGTCGTATTCCGCCAGAATCGGCTTGATCATCTCCTCGTCGACCCGTTCCCAGTATCCCAATACTTCTTCCTGTCTCTTTCTGTACCCGTCCACGTCACCCTTCTTCTCTGCCCATTTTTCACAGTTCCTCGCAAGAAAACTGCTCGGGTGTGGTGGTAGGAAGCTGTGTGTAGGAATGAGATACTCATATATCCGAGAGTCGACCAATTGATAAGCACTGAAACTGTTACTGGTCCGTTCATACCCCCAGACCCGAATTTGGGGGACCAGGTTTTCATTGATCTTCTTCACTATGTCTTCGTCTTCGATGATCAACTTCAGTGATATCACGTTGCCGGCGGCATGGACACCCTTGTCGGTCCGCGCGCACCGCACAAAGGAAGACTTCTTGGGATCGTCAGCGTTGGCTTTGGATATGGCGCCGGCCGCAACGAAGGCTTGGAAGAGGTCTCCTTCGATCGTTTTCTGGTCATGCGCTCTAAACCCCATGGGAGTCAGTCTCTGGCATGAAACAGCCGCACCGTCAAGCTTACAATTGCATCCCCTTGTAGCCAGTTCCAGCGTATCCAATAAGGACAGCAACCTTCTTTTTAGGTCTTCTCTCCTCGGCCGCAAGCACTTCCTCGCTGAACTTCGTAGCGTAAATCGGTAGTTCCTCCTTGCCTTGGTCGATGCGCTGGCGTTTGGCGGCTTGCTCGTCATCGTTCCGTTGGCGTTTGTCTACTTTGGTCTTACTTAGCAAGTCAGTCTTTGAAGATTCCCGAGAAAATGTGAGAAAGGACCGAAACAAACCCCTCGCGGACTGCCTCTATGTGTATGTTCATTCGTGGGAGAAAAGAAAAACTTACGCCCACTCCTTCCTCCCCATATCTCTCTTCTTGCCCTGACGACCTCCTCGACCACCTCGGGCATCTCGCCTTGTAGCGCCATTCTGATTCGAACGTCTTGCATCTGAACCACCTCCTTCCTGTTCACGAACATGCGCTGCTCCACCTTGGTGAGAGGTTGGAGGCTTCGACTCTGACTCGACGCTGGTGGTAGAGGGACCTTCGGGCGCACCTGGCGCCGGGGCCTTCGAAATGCCAGTCTCCATATTGGCGACCTGTAGAACATGAAAACAAAAGACGAGGCTATCGCATTGGTCAAGGCTGCATACCTATTTTGAAATTTCTTAGGCCTGGTTGAACAGTGCGGAATCGGATTGGACGAAGGCAGTCATGCCGCTTCTTCCCGTAGGCGAAATGCCCAGTCAGCCATAGTCTCGTAGTTCCGCGGGCGTGACAAGTCATTCGCCCATTATTACCATAAGTGGAATGTGACACCGATTGTGCGTTGCCGTTTTAGGGGTAACTATCGCTGCTATAGTTGAGTTGTGACGTTCGTATCTTTCACGTGAGAGAGGATAAACCCCAGTTGTTCACTCAGAGCGGTAATGACATTCGAAGAGAAAATAGTGACCAACATCGTCAGATAGATATATTCAAGACCTTCCCACCTATTTCCACAACCTTTTCCTCCCATACAACTTTCCATTGAGCGCACTCAAACAATTTGATCCAAAGGAAAAAAGAAACCCGTCAGGTACCAATAAAAATGACATACACAACTTCGGAGATCACAGCTCTGCGCATCTATCCCATCAAGTCATGCCGAGGAATCTCTCTGAAGTCGGCGAGATTGACCAGGCAGGGATTGGAGCTGGATAGACGATGGATGGTGAGTCCTCATTCCCGACCAGCAACGCTGCTCTTCCTCCGAGAAATGCATGACACCCAAACGCATGCTGCAGTTTCCCTACCGGTGATGGCTGACGATACATGGTGGAGTCGTTTAGTTCATTGATAGCAGCAACAAATTCATCACCATCCGCACAAAACCACAGATGACATTGATCAATACCGCACTTGATCACGACTCGGATAGCCTAGTGATAACCATAGGCCACGACACGGCCAAGCAAGTCAAGGTGCCTGTTCACCCTAGTCAGGAGTGGCTCAGTGACAACACCAAAGAAGTTTCGGTCGATATCTGGGAGTATATCACCGACGCCTATGCGTACACGGATCCAAAGATGTTGGGTCTTTTCCACGAGTTTTTCGGAGAAGAAGTTCGCCTGGTGATGAAGGGTCCTGAGCCAAGGATATGCTCCGGCAATGGCTCTCCTGACCGACTAGGACGTACAGAAAGCGTCAATTTTCCGGACGTCCTCCCTATTCAGATCGCGTCTGATTCATCGCTTGCCGAATTGAACTCGAGGTTGAAGGAGAAAGGCGAAAGCGAAATTACCATTGAGCGGTTTCGCCCAAACATCATAATCAAAGGTGGAGAGCCATGGTCCGAAGACTCATGGAAGAAAGTGCGAATCAACGGCGACTCTTCGTACTGGACTACACTCACAGGCGGCAACTTACATGCCATTGACGTTGATGTGGTCGCGAGATGTGCTCGCTGCACGGTACCCAATGTCGATCCCGATACCGCAGAGAAGGATGCCCACCAGCCTTGGGATCTGTTGGTCAGTTATCGCAGGGTAGATGAGGGCATCAAGTTCAAACCTTGTTTCGGAATGCTGTGTTGTCCAAGGAATGAAGGGAACGTTGAAGTAGGAATGCGATTCGAGGTGATGGAGATTACCGATGCGCACAAGTATGTGAAGGGGTTTTAGTTCGTTCACCTCGTAAGATGGACGCCTGTATTCGAATTGGAGGGAGCTATGGTGAGGGCTTGTTGAGTCCTGGTCACGATTTTTTTAAGTTCATGTTGATCAGACAGATTTCCGATAGCGCACCACGAGCCTACTGTTGTAGGTCAACGACTTTTGAGGTCTTCAGTCGTCGAACTTTTGTGCTACTCTGGGATTTCTTGGTACCCGACAGCCACTTACCTCGATTTGCCCGCTGGTCCGATAAGCAAATTGTTGTCACTTCTTTTCCGTAGCGACAGGTCTGCCGCATTTGTGCACCCTTGGACTCCATGGTTCCTGGTTGTTTCCACCATTCCCATCTCTTCCTTCCCCACCGGAAGCGAGGTCCGAGCTGGTGGTCTTTGGATGCGACATATTGTTGCATCAGCAGGACTACCGCATCAGGCGAACGAGAGGTCCCGCCGTGACAGCATGCTGCATGATAGCTTTGTGAGTTGATGGCACAGACAGCTCCTTCCCACCGACCGTTGGATTGGCCCAAGCTCAAGCTTGTCCTGGAGCCACAAGCCAGCTTGCAGCGAGTGAGAATTGGCGGAATGCACATGCTAGTGGGCGGCTGGAGCTCTCTTTTGCGTCGCATCAGCACCGATCATCGATCGCAAGCTCCCGAATAGGTGACGACAGCCCCCCAGAGAAGAGCTATCTCGAGTGAGGTGAAGAGAGGGGACCCAGAGCTCTCTGAAAGGTTATAATTGGCCTAAGTACCTGACTAGCTACCCAGCAGGAGAGCCAGTAGGAAGAAACGTGAATGCAAGAATGGAATGTCATCGATCAGAAGCCATGCTGGGCAGCCAGCACAGTGGTGTGAGGGCGGTGGGGGTTGATTGGAGGCTGCGGTTGTCGTTCCTGGTTTGTAAGGGCATCGGAAGCCCGGGACCTAGAGAGGTAGAGACGTCTGACACTGCATGGCGAGCTTCATGGACTGCCCAGCGAACCTGGTCGATGCTGTCTGACATTGCTGGATTTCGCGCGGTCTGGCTGGTGATGCCCAAAAGTTAACGGGCGTTGGCGCTTGGAACTGCTGCAACTTGCTGAGCTTATAGAGAGGGGAACCTCCGGAGAGCAAGGGAAGCTGCCACTGCCAATTAAAGCCCCTAAAGCGACCAGGGCAAGCTCCTCCCTCCCAAGCGACAGAGCTTAGGGTAACTAGGGAGGCTCACCCCTCAATCCGAGCTCAAAGCTCTTTTTTCTTTCTTTGATCCATCCCACCAACTCTCAATCAATCCAAAATAACCCTCTCTTCTCGTCACAACCGACATCCTCTCCTTCTCCCCTCCTCGTCTCCTTGTACACTCGTCAAAACGGCCAGCAGTTGACTCTGTTGTGTTGTGTCTCCTTTGACCCTATTCTTCCCGACGAGCAAATCATGTGAAGGAGGACCCATCATTACGTCGGTTCCCTCCAAGCTCAAAAACAGCCAAGCTTGTTGTGGACTGTCCGATCAATGCCGCCGACCTTCGTCCTTCTCTCCTAAAACTCGCTCCTGCGGTTAGGGTCAGCGCTGAGAGGCAATGCCGCCCAAACCTGCCCTCACCAGCTCTTTTCTCGTGTCGACGGATGCAGAAAATGAGGTTGTGTGTCCGCTCACAAACCAAGATGGCTCACAGTGCAGAAAGAGATGCATTGGGGTGCGCTCATCCTAGCCCAATTATGCGCGTCGCCAAATGGCTGACCCGGACTTTTGCAGGAAAAACGCTACCGGTCGATGCAAGAACACATTCGACGCGCCCATCCAGATCACTATATTCCCAAGTTGCCTGCTACAGAGGAGAGTTTCCAGTTGATGATCAGCACTCCTCCCTCGCAACGCCCACATGTCCAACCAACTGCCACCCTTCCTGCCCTAAAAGGCTCGTGTACGTTGGTTCTATGAATTCCTCCCTTGCTCATACTGAGAAAGATGCAGCGGTTACCGGTGGACTCTTTGAACAACCCGGAGCAGGGACCATGACTGCGCAACCCCCTGCGGCTGCCAATGCTGCTGTTGCCCTCACGCAACTCCACAATTGGGATTCCGATTTTGTAAGTATCACTGGAAGACCAGACATTGCCACAGGCAGAACTGTGCTCATTCGCACACCAGGATGTTTTCCCAGACTCAGATTACAAGCGCGAGACGTCGGGTCTCGAACTGCCCTCGTTACGCGCCCAATTTCATGAAGATACCCTGCCACCGTTCCAGCCTACCCGGCCACGCGAACTATTACCATCCATTCTACAGTCCCCTGGTAGTCGATATTCATCATTACCACCTATCCAACGACGTGGCGAGAGACTTCCGCGACCCCGAAAACCGTCAATGGGTCAAAATGCGCGCAAGAGCAAGCACGAGCGCGGAAAATCTAGGGAATTTTCGGCCAAGGATTTCTCCCGACGCCTGAGCGTTGAAGGCCGAAAAGCAATGTCTGCCGAACCACCCACAGCGGCGTGGGTTCAAGGCAAGAGATGGGAAGATCTGATCGAGGCTGCCACGAGTGCTACTGAGGCTGATGATGATCGTGATCTCACTCCCGTAAGTCAGACGACATTTTTCGATTGTCCTCTGTTTACTTGCTGCTGCCAAGAGATCGAAATTCTGTAGAGAAACCCCCCGGAGGAAGGCCCCCCAAGAAAGGGTATTTTGTCTTGTACTATTTTACTGTCACTACTATTGCCAAAACCAACAAAACGAAACGAACGACTGTCATGTCTTGCTATACCCGCACGAAAGGCAAAAAAAAAGGATCCAATGCGAGCAACCGAAGACGACTCCCGGGCAAGAGGAAACTCGTCCCTTGTATCTGTCAATGGTTTATGAAGAGTTGGCGGTCCGGAAAGATCACGAGTGATGTCTCAAGGACCACAACTTCAATCACGGACCGATTCAATGGGAAGGAGATGACGAAATGCCCGGGAGAGAGACTCTGGTTGTGAGCGGAAGAAATAAAAAACCCAGCATTGGTTTTTTATTTTCCTTGGTCAGGCCACATGCGGGTGATGAAACCATCCTTTTTTTCTGTGGCGGTCGGGCCAGGCGACTGAGACGAGCCAGAGCCAGGGGGGGTTCCTGTCACCGAAAAGTTTATGCACCCTCACTTAATTACTCTAATGTGTACACCAACCTCCTCATTTTCCTTGTCTTGTTCGCGTTAGACTATCGATAATCAACCTTGCTAACATGCCCTTGGCATTCAATTACAGATGCCGCAGTCGCCAAACTTTCCGCCCTCTACGACGGCTGCCGCCACCGCTGCTGGCACGGGCATCGCGCCCACCACCACTACCACGACCGCTCGTAGATTGTCCGCCGCGGACAGCATATCGACCAGTGGGGATGTCAACAAGCGTTCATCGCTACCCCCGGGCTTCCGTCCTTTTGGTCATCACCTGCACCACCACCAAGCTGGGCGATATAATGCCTCTCCGCTGCAGCGCACCCTGACTCCACCGCCACCAGATGTCCTGGGACCCAATGATCCTGAGCCATTCCCTTCAGTCGAGTCCTTAGAGAGCGCGGGATCCGGTCAGAATTTCCACATTTCAGGTTCCGGCCTCCCTACATCGGCATCATCCAACGATAACACTAGCCCCCTACAGCACCATTCACATCCTTACCAGCACTCACAATCATCCTCCTTTGGCAGCAAATCGGATGTATTGGAGATTTACTGCGCGTCCTGCAGTCGGCCGTGGCTACTGAAAAATGCATTCGCCTGCACCGAGTGTATCTGTGGCGTCTGCAGTGATTGTGTTGGACAGATCATCAGCAGTCCTGTAGTGACGGTCCAACCAGGACTCGCACCGATGCGCCGCGGATGCCCCCGCTGCGGAGTCATGGGCGGACGCTGGAAGAGGTTCAACATTGACATTCGCTGATGATAACATTCACAGTAAGAGGTCTCAAACTAGAACTGCTAGGGTGTTCGTATTGTGTGGGAGGAGAGGGGGGGAGAGGCGGGGACGGGGGGGGGGGAGTTGCTGTTTGTGGGGGTTGCGGGCCGGGAGGACGTGGGCTGGATCCTGTGCCTGTTTGGGGTGGGACAGGACTTTGATTGGGTGGTTTACGTCTGCGGCCTTGGCCGGGGTGGTCGTAGGTTCCAGGCTCAGCGCGGTGGGTGGGGCGATATACGACGGGCCCGGCCGACCTTACGAGGCGGTGCGGTAGGCGTTGCGGATCGCGGCGACGATGGTAGCCGGATCTCGCGCCGTGGGGCGGATGGCTCGCT